TGACATGGAGGGTCAGGGCAGGGGCCATGGGGAGGGAACCTCAGGAGATGGGACCCCTGCCTCTGGAGTCTTCATCTAGACACCTACTTCCTTCTGAGGGCCTAGCTGCGTCCTGGGCAGATGTGGAGGTACGCTGATGGATGGCTCCATCCATGAGCCCAGCACCTCACAGTGTGCAAGCGGCCATCTCATCCGTAGTCTCTTCTGACCGTCATTCAGTTGACAGAGGTGTACTGTGCTGTGAACTAGGCCAGGTGTGGAGACACAGTGGCACCCTGACCCAGTCTCTGGCTCATGCTACTTATAGTTAAGAGGGAGACATGCTGACTGGGGTCAGTGCTCTGATGGGGCCGGCAGCACAGTGACCTGACCTGACCTGGCCTTCGAGGAGAGCAGGGAGGGCTTCCTGGAGGAAGTGGTGTCTAGATTGAGACCTGAAAAATAAGCAGGCCTCAGCTAGTCAAAGGGGAGTAGGAAGAGGGGTGGGGGGGGGTGTTCCAGATAGAAAGAGCAGCATGTACAAAGACCCCCAAGGCAAAACACAGCAGGGCTGTTTCAAGGGCACAGCTGGAGGGCAGATTCAAGGGAACCTGAAGATGTGGGATAACTCAGGAATGGTTCCGAAACCTGTGGAGGAGCTTGGACTGTGTCCCAAGGCCATAGGAAGCTAACGAGCAGGGGGTGGCACAGTCAGATTAGTGATTTGGACAGTACCTCCTGGTTGCTGTGAGGATTTTGGATGTGGTCTGGGGTCCTGAGGAGGCGGCCAGAGGAGCTGAGGGGAGAGTGTGGGCAGATCACGCCCATTTCCTAAGTGAGCAGCCTGAGGCCCAGGGCCACGCGATCGGGAGGCAGGCCCTGTGGGCCAGTGCAGCCTCCTGCCTCCGGGTCCGTGCTATCCCATCGGCCACGAGCCCTTCCTTGACGGCGGCCCACCCGTGCTCAAGTACATGGGCGACTACCCATCCAAGAGGATGCGCTCCGTCAACGAGCTCACTGACCAGATCTTCGAGGGCGCCCTGAAGGCTGAGCCCCTCAAGGACGAGGTGTACGTGCAGATCCTGAAGCAGCTGACCGACAACCACATCAGGTAAGCCGGGGTGACGGGTGCGTGAGGGGCAGGCCCTGCGCCCCTCGTGCTCCCAGCTGAAGGGCATCTCACAGGTCATGCACCTGCTGTGATGGGGAGCCCCCTCCAGCTGGCAGCAGCAGCTGGCTCTGCCTGGGAGCTGTCCTTTCTCAATCAGAGCAGGGAGCTGCCCTCAGCGCCCTGCCCCCCATTCCAGCTCTGCCTCAAGGGTGGTCAGGATCCATGCGGTGGTGGCTGCGCCCTCTGATACTGTCCTTCTCTAAGTTTAANTGGAGTCAGGAAGGTGCTTCACGCCTGATGAGCCTACCTCCAAAACAGACCCTGGCCCAGCCTTCCCTGCTCTGCCCCACTCAGCCGCCTCCTGGGTGGTGGTAGGCAAGTAGGCGAGGGCAGCATATGTGTCCCACCTGCTGCTGGGAGGGAGGCTTTTCTTCTGAGGCAGTCTCCCTTCCATGCTTCCCCACCTGCCTAGGGATGAGATCTACTGCCAGATCAGCAAACAGCTCACCCACAACCCCTCCAAGAGCAGCTATGCTCGGGGCTGGATCCTTGTGTCTCTCTGCGTAGGCTGCTTCGCCCCCTCTGAGAAGTTTGTGAAGGTAGGGCCGGCACCTGGCCTCCTGGGGCGGGAAGGGGAGCTGGGCCATGTCCCCAGCATGGAGGGGAGAGAGCGAGCGGAAGAGGCTCTGGGGGGCTTGGTAACGAGGCCCCGCCCGGGTCACCTCTTCTCAGGCCCCACTGCCTTTCACCAGGCCAGTCTTTCTGGCCCCTCCTCCCAGGCACTCAGCACTTCACACTATTTTCCCCTCAGCCTATTTTAGTTATGAAGAGACTGAGTTTAACAGAAATGTCTCCTGTGCCCTCTACATGCTGTCTCGGAGCGAGGCACTTTAGTTCATCTCAGGTTACTTTCTTGACTGCTCTGAGTGCCAGGCTCTGGGTGCTGTGAACTCAAAGGCAGAGCAGGTGACAGCAGGACCAACCCTGCTGGTCAGTGCTGTGAGGAGGAATGCGACTGCCCGGTCGGGAGGGGTCGGGAAGGTGGGCCCTCGGGGAAGAGCAACAGCTAAGCTAGGTGAAGGGCGGGTATGGTGTGTGGGGCGAGGAGGAGGCACCGCTGAGACTAGAGGATTATGGTAGCCTTCTCGCCAAGCTGAGGTGCATGGACTTGATTCTGAGGGCAGCAGGGAGCCATGGAAAGCACAGGAGGGGTGTGGGCAGACATGCCTTGAGGAGCAGGTCCTAAGTGTGGGTAGAGGGACCGGAAGCAGGAGACCTGCCAGGCTGCTCTGATGGTCCAGGTGGGGGAGGCCAAAGTGGGGGCTCCCTCACCTGGTCCTCTATCTGCAGTACCTGCGGAACTTCATCCACGGGGGACCCCCTGGCTACGCCCCATACTGTGAGGAGCGGCTCAGGAGGACCTTTGTCAATGGGACACGGACACAGCCGCCCAGCTGGCTGGAGCTGCAGGTGTGACCCCTAGCCCCACGAGTGTGTGTGTGTGTGTGTTTCCAGTGCACTCCAGCACCCCAGAAAAGTGCCCTGCTTCGGGATTCTGTGTGTCTTCAAGCACCCACCCTCAAATTCTGGAACCCCAGCCCTGTTGGANAAATAAAACAGAAACAGACTCATACTGAGAACATTTTGGTGGTTGTCAGATGGGAGGGGTTTGGGAAGGTGGGTGAAAAGGGGAAGGAATAGAGAAGTACAAATTGGTAATTACAAAGTAGTCATGGGGATGTAAAATATAGCGTAAGGAATATAGTCAACAACATTGCAATAACTATGTGTGGTATCAGATGGGGACTAGATTTATCGGGGTGATCACTTCATAAGTTACATAAATGTCTAATCATTATGTTGTACACCTGAAACTAATGTAATACTGTATGTCAAGTGTAACTGAAAAATTAAAAACTATTTAAAAAAATAAAAATATAAAACCAGAAAGTAAAACAATTTTAAAAAAAGCACTTGTATAAAAATATTTGTGGAACCCCTTTTTCATCTACAGTGTATAAATATGTCTCAAAACTCAAAATGATAAAACAAACTCACTATAAAATGGACAAAAAATTTGAACAGATATTTCCCCAAAGAGATATGTAGATGGCAAGTAAGTACAGGAAAAGATGCTCAACATTATTAAATATTAGGAAAATGCAACTTTAAATCACAACGAGATTCCACTCCACATGTACTAGAATGATTAAGATGGAAAAGACTGACCAAACCAAGTGTTGGTAATCATGTTGAAAGTGGAACTCTCATTCACTGCTGGTGGGGATATGAAATGGTACAACCACTTTGGATATCAGTTTGGCAATTTCTTAAAAAGTTAAACGGGTGATGTCAGCATCATGGCAGCATGAGAAGACCCCTAGTTCTCTCCCCTTGAAGTTACAATAAGTTGAACAGCTATAATTCAACAAAGGATTTGCTGCTCAACACACAAACAAGTCTGAGAGATCCATGCATAGAGACATCTACAGGTGGGCATATTGGAGCGAGCAGGGGAGGGGAACCAGGGAGAAGGACAAACACGGGAGCCACAGACACAGTCTGTCACTTGCTGCAGCCCCAACTGACATGATAGCAGTGAAAGGTCAGGGTGCAATCTCCACTGGGAAGACCAGAGGAGCAGAGGCAGCAATCCAGACTGAGTGGCTTGTACACATTGAGGCTGAGCCCAGGGTCAGGGGTAGAGAA